AGATAAATCCATATCACGTAATAATGCTTTGATATAACAGAAATATACACTCTCAAAAAGGAATGGATTTTTGACTTTATGTAATGATAAGTTTAATTATAAAACACAATTTGCTTGACGTAATGTAATTTTGACCTCGCATATTAAAGAAATGAAATGATGTAAAGAAACATTCATTTCACGTAATAAAGTTTCAACACAATGTAAACACATAATCACTTAACAAAATGGATTTTTTACTTCAAGTTATGAAGTGCTGACATAATAAAAGAATGTATTTACTTCATGTAATGCAGCACTGACATGATGTTAAGATATTTTCCCATCATATCATAAAAAATGACATAAAAATACATACTTGGGAATCAATAATATTCTTGTGGAATAAATATTCATGGATTTAGAATTATCGAACAATTATTTTTTTCAATATATGTATTCATTTAATTTCTGTATATGCGAGTTACCCAGGAAATTACATCCCAGCGAAGCGAAGCAACAGAGTTTGTTTACCCACGAACATTGAACACCGCGAATTAGAATCATTCCATAGTATCTATCTAAATATCAATTCATGCTAACAGTGATATAATTATCTATTTCAGTGGATAAAACTACCCTGATGATAGGACTAGGATTTTTGTTCATCGTCATAGTATTCTGTATTCTGTTTGCCATAGGATATCACTTTCACAGGTGACTTTGTTCATTTCACAAGTATATGTTATGCTATAAGCTATATGTTCCTGAAGTCAATTTCACAAGAAAAGATATTCGAACATCAATATCACAAAAACTCTGGAAATTAAAATTACTGAGTATTCTAATCAAGAATTCACCTTAAATAAGAAGCATAATTCATTTTGTAAAAATATTGACTTATCCAAAAATTGAATTTGATATTTATTTTTAATTACAGAAAGAACCATGCATTATACGAGATGAAATGGAAGATAAATTGGGAACATGTTCAGCTAAAACTCACAGGATCAACAATGACGTTTGGAAGTTACAAATCTGTTAATACCTTTGTAGGTTTACTGTATACAGGGTTATTTTCGCCCCGTGTTATTTTCGCCCTTTTGAACTTATGAACAGTTTTGCCCCGTTTTAAATTCGCCCAGTAATAGTTCTGCTTAAGAAATTATGGGGTGTAATTTGAATTCGCACCGTTTTAAATTCGCCCAATCAAGGAGAGGGCGAAAGGGACGAAAATAAAACGGGGCGAACATTTCCCTGTATACAGTATTCCTAATTTTAATTAATCGCATTTGCAGACTATGCATATATTATAAAGTTTTCCCCCAAAATTATTTAATCGTATTGTTCATTTTTTTCAACTGAAAATTTTATTCCACGGTACAATTTATCTAAAGCTTTAGAACAATACCCTCTTACTAGATATTCCTATTTTTTTAGTCTGTTGAAGGAGTGTGAGGGAAAAACCGTTGTTTTCAAAGGTTATCCAAACTCTTAAAGCATATGCTAACCATAACGTCTCTGAAGCAAGCAACCAAAAAAAAATCAATTCGTAAAAGTGAATAGACATATATAATTATTTTGACCACATGCCAAACCGATTCAATTTGTTTATATGTTTATCTTGTAAAATGCTTTTCTAATTTTTGCATCATTTTCTGATTTTAAGCATGATTCAACAATCGAGCCGGAAATTCTATCCACCAGGACCAACGAGACAAATCGACAAGTGTTCACTACTGTTGCTTTTTGTAGAGGAGTTATTGTGGCTATACGAAAATTCGCATTTTCTTCCATTGACCTCAATAAAGACAACCTCATTGAATTGAAACAGGTCTGCTTCATTTAAAATGTATATTTCCCATGGTAAAACATGGACACGGCTTTTCTTTCTGTAATATTGAATTGTGCCCATCTCCTTTCCGAGATCCCTCCTATACCAAAGGATAAAATTTAATGAGACTTTCATAGATTCTTTATAACATAATACCATTTAACTTTTGGATTTGACACTTATTTCGGGTCTCCCAGAACAAAACATGGACTCTGTCATTACAATCATAAAGAGGCGTGAGTAATTTAGTGATCTCAATGCTCCCAGTACCTCTAGTTTCTCGATTCTGAACGTCTTGTTGACCAATATAGTAGCCTAAATTTGAACAGCCCAATATAAACTTCCTTTTGCATCAATAAAAAGAAACAGATTATCATTATTAAGACTATTATCTGAAGGCATGATAACGATAAAGCTACGGTGCGATAACAATGACGCAACGATCACGATGCTATTTAGCACTATGACAGTTATGCTCTGCAGAGACAATGCGGTGGCGCAAGAACACGATTGAGCGATAGTGAATAACGCTTTTTCGTATTGAACCACCGCACCATATAACTGTAGTACAATGTCATCACTTTCGCAATGTTACAGCATCACGCTTTCACTTCATCATGTCATTGCAACAACGTAATTTCTCCCAATCACATTATCGTCATCGCGCTTTCGCACCCTGCACCAGCGCATCATTGTCATCGCATTATTGTGTCATTGCATAAATGATCCAATCCTCCATGATGCTATGGTCAGCTTCCTGGCCCTATCTGGATTCCTGTACATGTCTGTTAGAATTACATTACAGTTTAATTTCTCTATTTCATTTTAGTTGCTGTCTTTACGACATACAAATGTTGCCACTTTCATAGGCGCTTGTGTCGATGTGGGAAAAATATCCGTGATGATGGAATATTGTCCTAAGGGAAGTTTACAGGTATCAACATCGATTTTGTTTCTCTGTTTTATTTCTGTTTTTGATTGTGTGTGTGTGTGTGTTTGTTTTCTTCAGGAAATTAAATACTGCTTAAACTTGTTTTTTTCTGTTCTATCATTAACAACACTTCTGAAGAGTTCTTAAAACAAGCTTCACACAAACTAAATAAAAATCAAAATGACTTTGTCAGTAAACACAATTTATCATTGAGTCAAATGTTGACTGACGTTTTTCATACTAATTGTTAGTCCATTATTTATACAATGAATTGACGACGGATTTCACTATCATGACAAGGAGCACACGGTGGGTGTGACCGGTCGGCAGGGGATGCTCACTCCTCCATGGTACCTGGTCCACTCTTATGGTTTGAAGGTCCTTGTTTGCTCTGCTCCTATTTTGCATTGTTTTATGGACTTTGATATTGAATACTGATTGTTTTCTCCATATCCTTCATTTACAAATGCAATATTCTATGAAATATGCGATATGATTTCTTGATTTCTTTAAAAAATCAAGAAATTGATTTCTAACCTCTTTTCATAAGAGGCTATACATGTACCGTCCTCTATAATTTCTTTTCTTTGATAGTCTTTTATCTGTAGATGTTTTCAATTCTTGGACAGTTGTTTTTTTTTCTGTGAATAATGTCTTCAGTTTCGATTTCTTTGACAATTGTGTTCTGTTTGTAGATACTAAACTACTTCGCTGTTAATTCTCTTGTATCTGTGCAAACTGTCATCGAGGAGGGCAAGTCTTTGACATCTGATGGTCTTGCTTCCTTTATTCTCACTTCCTTGACAGTTTTCTACTCTGTATATAAATATGCAATAACTTTTACCAATAACGCCTACTATTTGACATTTGTTTTGTATCTGTGTCTACTGTTCTACTGTTCTAACCGACACTCATTGCTTTAACAATAGTTTTGTATCTGTATAAACTATCCTCATTGAGACCTCGTGCCCTGACACTAGCCTAGTATGTGATTACTGTGGTCAGTGACACACTGTGCTCTGGCAGTATGTGATTACTGTGGTCAGTGACACATTGTGCTCTGGCAGAATGTGATTACTGTGGTCAGTGACACATTGTGCTCTGGCAGTATGTGATTACTGTGGTCAGTGACACATTGTGCTCTGGCAGTGTGTGATTACTGTGGTCAGTGACACATTGTGCTCTGGCAGTACGTGATTACTGTGGTCAGTGACACGTTGTGCTCTGGCAGTATGTGATTACTGTGGTCAGTGACACGTTGTGCTCTGGCAGTATGTGATTACTGTGGTCAGTGACACATTGTGCTCTGGCAGTACGTGATTACTGTCGTCAGTGACACATTGTGCTCTGGCAGTATGTGATTACTGTGGTCAGTGACACGTTGTGCTCTGGCAGTGTGTGATTACTGTCGTCAGTGACACGTTGTGCTCTGGCAGTATGTGATTACTGTGGTCAGTGACACGTTGTGCTCTGGCAGTGTGTGATTACTGTGGTCAGTGACACGTTGTGCTCTGGCAGTATGTGATTACTGTCTTCAGTGACATATTGTGCTCTGGCAGTGTGTGATTACTGTGGTCAGTGACACGTTGTGCTCTGGCAGTACGTGATTACTGTCGTCAGTGACACATTGTGCTCTGGCAGTATGTGATTACTGTGGTCAGTGACACGTTGTGCTCTGGCAGTGTGTGATTACTGTGGTCAGTGACACGTTGTGCTCTGGCAGTATGTGATTACTGTGGTCAGTGACACGTTGTGCTCTGGCAGTATGTGATTACTGTGGTCAGTGACACGTTGTGCTCTGGCAGTATGTGATTACTGTCTTCAGTGACATATTGTGCTCTGGCAGTGTGTGATTACTGTGGTCAGTGACACGTTGTGCTCTGGCAGTACGTGATTACTGTCGTCAGTGACACATTGTGCTCTGGCAGTATGTGATTACTGTGGTCAGTGACACGTTGTGCTCTGGCAGTGTGTGATTACTGTGGTCAGTGACACGTTGTGCTCTGGCAGTATGTGATTACTGTGGTCAGTGACACGTTGTGCTCTGGCAGTGTGTGATTACTGTGGTCAGTGACACGTTGTGCTCTGGCAGTATGTGATTACTGTGGTCAGTGACACGTTGTGCTCTGGCAGTATGTGATTACTGTGGTCAGTGACACATTGTGCTCTGGCAGTACGTGATTACTGTCGTCAGTGACACATTGTGCTCTGGCAGTATGTGATTACTGTGGTCAGTGACACGTTGTGCTCTGGCAGTGTGTGATTACTGTGGTCAGTGACACGTTGTGCTCTGGCAGTATGTGATTACTGTGGTCAGTGACACGTTGTGCTCTGGCAGTGTGTGATTACTGTGGTCAGTGACACGTTGTGCTCTGGCAGTATGTGATTACTGTCTTCAGTGACATATTGTGCTCTGGCAGTACGTGATTACTGTCCTCAGTGACACATTGTGCTCTGGCAGTCGCCAGGTTTTTTATTTGCTGTTCTAAACTTAATTTAACAGAGTCTTCTCGAATCATATTTTTCTGTCCTTGATTTTTTTCCCTCTACAGTGGTCTGGTATTTCTGTATTTTGTCTTTTCTTGTGTCTTAAAAACTAGGTTGAAACTCTTTCTTTGCCAAGCGCTCGGCACTTTGAATGCACGTTGCAATCCTTCGGATGAGACCCCCCCAAATCGAGGCCTCTAGTCACGGTGAGGTTTGGCACGATAAATATCCTTCAATGTTCAATGGTTTCGAGTCTAAATTTGAAGCGCTTAACTTGTATATCGTGACGTCTCTATCTTAGTGAAAAAAAATCTCTAATGGGGCGTAAAACAACTTACAATCATTTATTAAATCAATCAATCAGTCAATCAATTAATTTTTCTATCTACATTGTGCTTTGTCAATTATGTTCATTTATTATTCAGGAACTGTGTACTGATTATATTTGAAAATGTTGTTTAAGATGTGCTCTTTTCGCTACATTTATAACCTTTACAGATTATACGTTATTATACCAATTTTATCTTATTATGGATCTCTAAAGGAATTTTACTGGTGTAGAATATTAGATTTTTTTTTTAAGTAATTTTATAGCAAATAAAACAGCTGATCGGTCATGTATTTTTGTTCACGTCATACAGGATATTTTGCAAAACGAAAGCATTGAATTGGACTGGACGTTCAGATGTTCTCTCATCCAAGATATTATAATGGTTAGTAGTTAATTTTCGTTAAACACTAATGAAAAAAATCTTTTTAAAGTATCCAAATACTATTTAGTCCGATGTGTACGAGATTTTTATAAATTTATCTTCTTTTTTGCTGCTAATAATATCAACTTATCACTTTTAATATTTACGATATCATTTTGAAGTCTGATTAAAAATATAGAATGTTATAAAATCGTTAGGATAATTATTCATTGTTTGTACATGTAACACGAGTTGCTGTGGTCCATATTCTCAATTTTTGACTTTCAGGGAATGAATTACTTGCATGGAAGTGACATCAAAATTCATGGTCGATTAAGCAGTGCTGCGTGTGTTGTTGACCAAAGATTTTCATTGAAATTACGATGTTATGGTCCGAAGTGTTTCTATGAAAAAGAGGCAATAAAGAAATCATCAGTAAATTACAATAGTATGTATATTAAATGGAAATGATACAATCAATTATTGATGAAAATGCAAAAAAAAAAAAACCAAAACATTATTTAAGATAACATCAATCATTTGAGGTTCTCTTTTTCAGAACTTTTATGGACAGCCCCTGAAATACTGCGATCGAAATACTGGAACCCAGGAACACAGAAAGGGGATGTATACAGCTTTGGAATTATCCTCCAAGAGATCGTGGACAGAGCTGCCCCATTCGATAGCCACGCTATGATTGCAGATGGTTAGGAACTCTTTTTTTCATAAAGATGATCCGTACCAAGCAGAAATCTATGATAGAGGATTTAAAATTCATCATTTTCATATTGAAATATAATACTGATGTCTTATTTATGTGACGTCATCATATAATTTTTATCAAATATGATACATAAAGCTACGTTTCTTTCTTTTTTTTCAAATAACACAATTTTTTAAAAATAATACAAAATTGAAAAGAAAAACAATTGTCATTCACACAAATAAGAAAAGAGTCTACGAAAAAACCCTCAAACAAATTAAAGTGTGAAAAAGGGAAAATCCATAGATTTTATATTATTCCAAACTATATGTCATTGTATAAATTTAACCAAACTTGGCAACTTTACGTATATAACGTTTGATTGTGCAATATTTTAGATATTGTCCACAGAATAACAAATGTAGAGAGTCCACCATTCCGACCACTGCTAAACGACAGATATTCAGAAAAATTAAATATACTGATGACAGAATGTTGGTCCGAAATCCCCGATGATAGACCTACATTTGACGTCATAATCAAAAGATTCAAAACAATCTTTAGGTAAGAACAAACCAATACTTACCTTCCGTCATACTAGATACCAGGGTATGTGACTGGTGTAAAATTTTATTAATGTGTAAAACAAAATTGTACCTGTCATATTTTGTCTAACTTGACATTTCGGAAGGTCCTGAGTTTGCGGCTGCGACTGAACTTGAATGGGACGTCAAACAACATACAGTCAATCAAAATAATTTGACATAAATTAAAGGATATTCCAGCATTTCCAATTTGTGATTCTGAAAGTACAACTTTTATAAAACATATTATAATATGTAAAACTTATACCACTCATAGAAATATTTTGAAAAAACACCAAACAATCTTATAATTAAATATATATATTTTATATATCATAATTAACAGACTACGATTTGAAGACTATTATGTAGAAATGAGTCGGGTTTTTTTAAATGTAGGATTTTCATAGTAAATTAAAATGACGTTTAGTAATCGCAACAAAATATTTTAATTTTCTCTGGCTCTGTTCAATTCCAAAAGAATGACCCTAAAAATGACATTATTTTTTGCGTTTAGAGGTCGGAGTAACAATATAATGGACAACCTGATCAGAAGGATGGAACAGTACGCCAACAATCTAGAAGGACTTGTCGAGGAGAGAACAAAGGCGTACGTGGAGGAGAAACGAAAAGCAGAGAATCTGTTAAATCGAATGCTCCCCAGGTGACCATATTATCTACGTAACCTTGATTTCCTCCCAGCGACATTAATAATTTGATGGATGATGATGATAAAGTAAAATTGTCTCTCGGGTAGATTTTATTTTACTATAAATAATACATAATCGTCTATGACTATTTTTATTAGCATTGATGTTGTTGATTGATCTTCTGTGTTTCCTTTCATAGACATTAATATCAGGTGAGATTGAAATGTGATGCGTACACAACTTGAAATATTTGATTTTATTCTTGACACAAAATGATATAAAGTAGCAAATATTTTTAAGCTTAATCCCACTTCAAAGTAGTGTAACGTGTAACCAAATAAAAAGGGTCCGTTTTCAGGAGATATAGGGTTTTAATATTACCAAAATAAATAAACTTTTCCTCTGGCTCTATCTGAGCCTATAATTAATACGGGGAATCAATATCATATACAACAATAATTATTTGTTATTTTCAGGGGATACTTGTCCATGGTTTTTTTTATTTAAACAGCGGGATACAATTAGAGGTTCTTTGTAACCGGGTACTATGACTGGGCTCCTTGTACCTGGTTCCGTAACCAAGTTCCCATTGAAATGAGCACTCGGAACCTCACCCTTACTCAGGATTACTACACCTTGTGCTTTAGTTCAATTTCTTGGCTAAATACACACACCGATGCTCTGTACCCTAGCGTTACTTATCTTTCTTTACTCTTTAAATACTTCTGGTGCTATTATTACCTTTCAGCTTCTTCTCTGCTTCTTAGAATGGTCGAGACTGCCTCTGCAGCCATTTATATAGCAAAGGGATATACCATTCAAA